GTGTGAGATCGATGTTGTCGAAGATGTCAGTTCCTTCAATCACCTTTAATCTCTCTTTGAGCATTTCAATTTTTCCGCTCATGATAACTTCTTTGTCAATTTCTACCGACTTACATATAAGGTAATTGAGACTGGATACTACAATATTTTTGCTTGACTGTCCTTTTGTAAACGTAGATATCTGTTAGTCATGGAAAATACTGTCAACTTTTGATTTATTAGAAAGGAAATATTGCCATCTGTCAAACATGGAGAAGGAATGTTGCATACAGCAACCAACACTTATTTGTTTCTCCATCCTCTTCGAATTTTGTCACTTCTACTTCTTTTGTTTTTTTCTTTCCTCAACTTCTCTATCGTTGGAAGTTTCTTCTCTTCTGCTTCTCTCTCTCTCTCTTTCTTGTCCAACTTCTTTTTTTTTCTCTTTTGTCACTCAATCTCTTTTTCTTTTTCTTCATCTTTAGACAATCCTTTGTACAAAGGCTGACAGAGAACAACCACCAGTTATGGCAAGCACCATAAACTCAGTGTGTCCACAGCGTGTCTATGGAGTGTCCATCACGTGTCTAGAATAAAAAATAATTATAATAAAATGGACACACTATTTTTCGTGTTGGACACGTGTTCGGAGCATGTCTGGAAGTATCCGTGTCTGACACATGTCAGACATGGGCACTTTGTAAAAAATAATGTGTCTGTGCTTCATTGGCCCTACTAATCCCTCGTTCAAAGCATCACACGATGAATATTTTTGGGGATTCCTTTGTTAGTTGGTGAAGAGAGGTGCCAAACCTAAATAAAAAAACCCATTTTTACTCATCTAGGATGTTTTAATGGTTGGAATGATAGAGATCGCTAGAGTTCATGTGGGACTGCTTGGAAAACACATCGAGATGGCGATTTGGGTCGTCGGGTTCGCCGGAGTGGGTTCATCATCGGATCTGCAATGTCATCGGAGGTCATGAAGAAGCACGAGTCTTGTGCCGCCAGAGGTCACCGAAGTTGGTAGATCCGTGAAGAAGCGTTGGAGGTCGTAAACAAGCACCTGATCTTGTAGCTACTACTGTCGTGGGTTTGTTGCTGGGTTTGTCAAAGCCTGCTGGAATCGCACCATCGTCGGGTTCCCGCCAGCAATCTGGGTGTCGCTGGAAGTTCTGCCATCGCTGGATCGTGGTTTGTCGGAATATTGGGTGTTGCTAGAGGTGTAGATCTAAGGTGGAAAAATATAGGGGAAGATGAAAGATGGTGGAGTTGTGGAGAAAGAAAGAAAGAGAAAAGAAAAACGAAAAAGGAAATGAGTGTTTTAACCAGAGCAAGTTGGACTTTCCTAAATTATAAACAAAACTTGTAATCTACTATTTTCTTCTCTTCGTTCTCGCTCTAGTCTTTGCTCTCAGACTCCTCCATCTCTTATAAGGCACAAGGCAATAGTGCACTATGCTAAAAATAAATAATCTAGAAGAAAAAAAGAAGGAATATGAGAAAAAAAATGTCACATTGGAACAGCTTTGACGAGGAAAAAATCAAACAAAATCTTTGTATTTAAAAATAATTTTTTTAATTCATTATTTTATAAAATCAACATTCCATTTAACCAATCTAACTCTTTAATTTAATTAAAGCTTTACCTTATAAAACAAATAAAATAAAATTTAGCTTTTCTAACCAAACTAACTAAAATAAACTAAAATAAATAATAATAATAATAATATATAATATAAAAAAATAAAAAGAAAGTCAGCTCAAATACGATGTCTAATATCAATACTAAAAAGAAGTAATAAATAGGAAATAGAATAAAAAAATTTGTGCGGTTCGGTTAAGGTTAAGATTCGATTTTTAAACTTTAAATCAAAATTAGACCAACCGTTTCGATTTTAAATATTTAAAAAAAAACGAATCGAAGCGAAAACATAGTAAACCGAAAAATTGGTTCGATTTGGATGGATTTTGTCAGTTCTATTGATTCGTCGATGTTGATGCAAGAATCTGCCCAAGCATCGTGGAGCGACGTGTGTAAGGTCCAGGGGAGCTAACTCGAAGCGACTGGAACTGGGAGACCTGCAAAAATAAGTAGATTACTCTAACACTCAAGTTAGTTTAGGAAATGAACTAAGCAAATCAACGTGATTCTCATACTTGATTGGGTGAAATGAAGGTGTATTTATAGTCGGCAAGTGGGTAGTTTCCTGTCTCATTGGTCTAATCCGCTATTATGTGGGTAGATGACTTGTCAGGCGTTGTGTGAATTGTACTATTAACTAGATATGTCGTCCATAATAGCTCAACCTTAAGGCTCGTTCGGTTGTCCAAGGATCTCTCCCCGGCTTGTTGGCTCTACACGTGCCCTTTCCTAACGAAGGAGCTCGGGCCTCAACAATTGGCATTTCAGCCTCCCAACAGTCAATTTATGGGTGCATCATACTTACTCAATCTTAAAGGTGGGTTGTCCTGGAAAAAAATTATGAGGAAGTAAGTATAATTTTTAAATAACAGAAATCTAAAAATAAAATTATTATCAATCAAGAGGATAAAAATATATCAAATTAATTTGGATTTGTAGATATATATAAACGTTATGCGTCTTTTTTCAATGAATAAATGTTATCTAAATATAATTTTCTTATATATATATATATATATATATA